CTCTCTCTCTCTCTCTCTCTCTCTTGCACTCTCTCACTATCTCTCTCTCTCTCTCTCTCTTCCTTCTCGCCCTTCTTTAAAATCGCTCCATCGTACATGTATTCCTTTCTCGTCCTCTCTCATTTTGACAGCTTCCACTATCTTTCCATCGACTTAAACTACTTGCTAATTGTATCATGAGTACATAAGAGGTATTCTCGAATTTCTTTGTCTGACTTGTGATTGACTTGTACTACTGAAATTCGAGTATCAGGAGCACAATTTCTCGCGGAGGTATCCCAAAATTCATTGTCCGGCTTGTTATTGACTTGTACCACTAAAATTGGGAAATTTTTCAGAAAAAGTAGTACGAGTCAACGTCAGGCCAGACATTCGAAAGAATACCTCCCGCACATCATGTGCTCCTGATACAAAATCCGAAAATTTTCTGAAAAAGTAGTACGAATCAACGTCAGGCCAGACGTTCGAAAAGTATACCTCCTTGCATATCATATTCTCCTGATACAAAATCCGAAAATAAAATTTTTGATACCCGATGTTTCGAAAATTGTATCAGGAGAATATGATATGCAAGGAGGTATACTTTTCGAACTTCTGGTCCGACGTTGATTCGTACTACTTTTTCCGAAAATTTTCGGATTTTGTATCAGGAGCACATGATGTGCGGGAGGTATTCTTTCGAATGTTTGGCCTGTCGTTGACTCGTACTATTTTTTCTGAAAAATTTTCGTAAAATTTCCTAAAATTTCCCAATTTTAGTGGTACAAGTCAATAACAAGCCAGTCAATGAATTTTAGGATACCTCCTCGAGAAATGTGCTCCTGATACTCGAAATTTCAGTAGAACAAGTCAATCACAAGCCAGACAAAGAAATTCGAGAATACCTCTCGTATGTACTCGTGATACAATTAGCAAGTAGTTTAAGTCAATGGAAAGGTAGTGGAAGCTGACAAAATAAGAGAGGAAGAGAAAGGAATACGTGAACGATGGAGCGATTTTAAAGAATGGTGAGAAGGAAGAGAGAGAGAGAGAGAAAGTGATAGAGATAGTGAGAGAGTGATAGAGATAGTGAGAGAGTGCAAGAGAGAGAGAGAGAGAGAAAGTGTGAGAGAGTGCAAGAGAGAGAGAGAGAGAGAGAAAGTGTGAGAGAGTGCAAGAGAGAGAGAGAGAGAAAGTGTAAGGAGAGATAGTGAGAAAGTGCAAGAGAGAAATTGTGAAAGAGATAGTCAGAAAGTGCAAAAGAGAGAGAGAGAGAGAGAAATTGTGAGAGAGATAGTAAGAGAGTGCAAGAGAGAGTGAGAGAAAGTTTGAGATAGATAGTGAGAGAGAGAGAAAGTGTGAGAGAGTGCAAGAGGGGGAGATAGTGAGAGAGAGAGAGAGAGAGGGAGTAGAAGAAATTTGGTGGAATGAAAGACGAATGAAAAGAGGGAATACAAGTGGTACAAGAAGAGTTGAAAAGATTCCAGAGTATTTGGAAGGGAAAGAGAAAGAATTGACATGGGTCAGGATAGCAAGGTATCGATGGCGAGGAGAAAAGGAAATGCAGGAGGTGTGTAGGTTAGGATGGAGAAGTTAGAGGAAGAAAAGAAGAAAATGAAGGGGAAAGGTGGGACAAGAAGAGGAGAGGTTGATTGTGAAAGAACAGGGGAAACGGAGTACAAATGAAGAAGGACGAGTGAGAGGATACAAAATAAAAAAGACGTTTTGATTGAGTTTTATAATATTTTATTTTCACTTCACACATTACAGTTCTAATTCTATTCGACATATATTTTACGAGACATCCGGCATAACCGTGACAAAAGTGAATCAACAAAAATCTGGTGAATCCTATACTTCGTGTGTGGTGCTGACACCTACACCTCATTCGTGCTAACTGCTGCCTGTGAATGCGTAGGTCGATAACGTGCTCCAGCAACCTGAGCGTTTCCTCACAGGTGGCGCCAAAGGTACTTTATTTAAAAACCTCAGAACAGATAATTACAAAATCTAAGTTCTCTCGGCCTCTCTTCTGTACATAACATAAACGACACAAATTACATCTGCCATCCCTGTTACACTTCAGGTACACAATTCGTCGCGTTAAATGCAAAACAAGTCGCTTTAGCATACGATAATCGTACCACGCACGCAGTCCTTCCATCGATTCATCGATCGATTACGCGTTTCGTAAAACGATAACACGCAGAAATATATCGCACTGTATACATAATAGAAACGAATCGTATACTATCGTAAACGATAAGATGCCTCGAAAATGATTCCGACTCTACTCTCCGAGCGAGAGAAAGAAAGAAAGAGAGATAGAGAGAGAGACAGGTTTTCCAGGTCGTACTCACCTGTTTCACAACCTGCGTGACGTATAGCGTGCCCTGTCACGTGACGCGCCTTACCTTTCAGCGTTCGCAGGCAGCGTACAATATACAGTGTACAGTGTACAGTAACAATAGCAGTGGCCTGTGGTAGCCACGGTAGTGTGGACGACGCGAGGCAAGGCAAGGCAAGGCAAAAGACGATAGGGACGCTAGTACGCTAGTCAGTGAAACCGCGCCCAACGTGACGCCAGGTGGCCCATTGTGCTGCGAATCGAATCCACCTCCAGCGAGTTACACGTCTGTTTTCCATCCGTTGCGAGTTCCGCAGCGGATCTCGATGACCGTTGCTCGTCGAATGGTCCGGCAACCATAGTGAACGTTCTCCAATGGTTCGCGTATGAGTCCCCATCGTAAACCGTGAGACGGACGCGGACAGCCAGAGATCTTCGAACGAGCGGCCCAAGATCCAACGGCGGAACGGATTCGATACCGAGCAGAGCGTGAAAATGAACGGCGTCTTCTCGATCGCGGCCGCGAGAGAGTCTCCCGACGGAAGACCAGCGGCGCAGCCGAGTCGCTACAGTCGAGCTGCGATCTCTCGCGCGTGAAAGAGAGCTACGTCGGGAGCCGCGAGTCGCCGAGAGGAAAGGTTAACGCTCGAATTTAAAATACAGCGTGTGCGACCGCGTCTGCGTACAAGTTGCCAACATTGCTGGGAAATCACGGACATCGACCGGTAAGATCGATGGATCCTCCGTCGACGTTCCGATGAGCTTCGTAACGTAGAAGCGAATCGGACGAGTCCTAGAACGATCGAGGAACGTGGACGGGACTCGAACGGACACCGAAGGCATATATTCCCGTTTTATCTGCTGTCTCGGCGATTCGACCGTTTTCTCGGAGTCCATGAACTCGACGAGGAAAAAGCCCGGTCGATGGCAGCGAACGTCGAGGATACAACGAGAAGACGTTCAGTGAAAGTGTACGCTCGATCGGTGATCGCGTCGTCGTGTGACGCATCCGAGAAGCAAACAGCAACGTGCAAAGATCAGGAACGACGATCGCGCGGTAAACGACGTACCGGCCCGACGCTCGATCCGGTCTCGCACAAGCATCGTTATCTTTCGCGAACGAAACCGGCCGTAGAGCTCCGATCGAGTGACTAAATGTTGCAACAAGTGTCGCAGGAGTGCGCGAAGCTCGCTAGGCGTACCGGCAGCAGGCTCGGGATCGTTGCTCCTTCGAGGATCGCCGAGGATTAAAGCCGAACAGAGCCGTGCGCGCGGTGGCCGGAACGAAAATGCTCGTTACGTGTCTGCTTCTGACGGTTTTGGGTGTCGTCGCCGGACAATCGGACGAAGGGCTCGACCAGTCGTCCATTTATTATACCGAGCCGACTTTCGTCGACGCGAACAACGACGATGCGAACGGCGGCCTCACGGAGCTGCGAGGCGGTCGCATCGTCAGAGGACGACGGGTGCTGGAGAGATCCAAGAGCCCGTACCTGGTCCGAGAGGATCTGTTCGTGGAACGTGACGGCGAGCTGGTGATCGAGCCCGGCGTCGAGGTTAGATTCGGGCCTATGATCGGTATCACCGTTCGCGGCGTCGTAACCGCAAAAGTAAGTAACCGGCGAATTATGATGCTGAAACGAACAAATAATGCTGAGCGCGGAATTCGTGACTCACGTAACGAATTGCTCATCGGTTCGTGGAAGCTACGATTTTCCTGATAGAAGCAACAACCAAACGATACTCGACGCTTGACGTTTGTAAATTACACGAATCGAAAGGCGACGATTCCGATGAATTTTCAGACACGTTACTGCGGGGCTATTTCTATGCAACTTGGCTTAAAAGAAAGCTGGAAGTGTCTACTTTCAGACAGGATAGATTGGCCTGAAATTGTACTGTATGATAAGTCCGATCGCGTCGACGACTGGCACCGGTGTTGTATTTTCTTGCAAGCGAAACGACTTTTATTATCACTCAACCTAATTAGACGGTCTTAAACAATATATTGGGAACCGCGTTTCCAAACGATTTACCGTGGTCAGGTGTGTCCGGAAATTCGAATGGTAAGCCCCCCGGCGAATATCTGCCACCGAATCTCAGGTGTCACCCCGGCGAACAATGGAACCGCCGGTGAGAAAGAAAGCTGCGATAAAACCCGAGCCGGCAAGCAACGGTGCAATTAGAGCGGAAAGAACAAGTTTATCGTGGACAAAGTACGAAAACAGATTTCATTTCCAAACAAGCGTCCCTCCCCGTGAACGCACGGCTACTATGATTAACTCGCGCGAAGACGACTCTGTGTGTTCGGTATACGAGTGTGTATATGCTAACGCTGAATGAACGTGACTCATCGAGACGTACGATTCTGCACGTGTTACTACGGGCATGCCAGAGCCGAGGAACGACGGCAGCAATTTAACTTTACGGAATGTTTTACGATTCTTCTTCCCGACGATATTTCGTTACGACGCAACCGTGGCGTGGCCTGCTTGCTTTTTACGTCCGTCCTAATTGGCGTTTCGCAATTTCATACCTTTGGTTTTCCACGCGACTATGTACAGAGTGTCCGAAAAATGTCTCGCAATCCGAAAGTGGCGGGTTCCTCGAGTCATTTGAAGCAACTTCTTCCTTTACAAAAATTTTCTACGAGGTACCGTTAACGAGTTATTAACGAAAAACAGCGACCAATGAGAGGCGAGCTCGGCTGGCGCGAAGCTGTCTCTTATACACATCTAGATGTGTATAAGAGACAGCTTCGCGCCAGCCGAGCTCGCCTCTCATTGGTCGCTGTTTTTCGTTAATAACTCGTTAACGGTGCCTCGGAGAACATTGTTGTAAAGGAAAAAGCTGCTTCAAATGATCCGAGGAACCCGCCATTTCCGGATTGCGAGACATTTCTGGGACACCCTGTATATTACATGCATACCTGCTGCCACGGTTATCGCGACGATGTAAAAGTTTCCTAGGAATCGATATCACCATGGCACCGATAAGTGATAAGACGGCATCTAGTCCATGCGGCTCGACGCACCTGATCCCTACGAAGACCACGCGATTACAGCTGCGGAAATTACAAGGTTATGTTCGCGGACGATACAATCGAATTTCCCCGAAGCGTGTGTTCGATTTCCGTGAAATTTCATCTGGACCGAACACACGGCTAGTCTCTCTCGCGGTGTGTAACGCAATATTGGCATTAAACCTGCATTTCCGGTGGAACCGTAATCACAGCGGCTCTCGAATACCCTTCAACTCGTTCCGTCTCCCGTTGCGCGCTACTTATCGTTAATCCCTCGTTCGGGCCCGTCAGCGCTTTGAAACCATGGTCTGCGTAGGCCGAGCCGAGCTCGATGGAAAAAAGGTTGCGCGATTTGCAAGTACCGCGGCTAATTAACGCGATACCGTTGTTCGTTCCGCGAGGCCGCGAATGAAAGTAAACACACGCGGTGAGAACGAGCCAAGGATCGACATCGGGGATCGCCGGTTTTCTTGCCTCCCACTCGGGAGCGAGAATGACGACGCGGATCGACAGAGAGAGAGAGAGAGAGAGAGAGAGAGAGAGAGAGAGAGAGAGAGAGAGAGTGGGAGAGAACGTGAGGGAGAGAGCGCGCGTGAGAGAGAGAAAGAGAGCGCACGCGCGCGCGCGAGAGAGAGAGAGAGAGAGAGACTCGTAATCGAGGGGGGGGAAAAACGTTAAACTGTTAAACGGCGACCGTGGTAGGAGGGAAAAACACAAAAGGGTCTCAAAGCGTGCGTTCGAAAGGTACGTCGAATCGCCGGAAATTCCAGGAACACGCAACCCGGTCCCCGGTGATTGTTGCTTTATTCGCGGCACGTTGCGGTAACGTACGATCGTGGTCTGTGCCCTGCGCCTCCGGTGATACGCCGCGTGTACACGCACCGATGACCGCAGCGACGTGTGTCATTAATATCCCGATAGTTAACCACCGATGTGTGCCTCGAATTCAGATGTTAAAAGCTATTTTCACGACCGTAGGAATGCGCTGGAATCGCAGACTTTCGTGCGCGCGCTACCTCTTCCATGTTTTCCAAGGGGTCGTTGCTTTGGAACCGAGTTTGCACGGAGAAAGGAATCGCAGTCCACGCGGACCGCGAGAGAATTTTCTAATCAGCGAGAGCCCTCTCTTCTCGACAGGAGTCGGCTAATGACTCGATTAAGAACGGGATGCGAACAGCATGCACAGTGTAAAAGCCGTGAACGAGTGAATCAGCTCACGGCGCGCACCGCCTCCGCTGCGCGGTGCGTTCGGGTCACGGATCAAACGGCGGTTCTTGGCCTGAACTGTTAACCTTCGACCCCGCTAATCCGCTTACGCTCGGGACGAGACGAGACCTCCTTCCACGCGGGGAGAAAATTGGGATGATCAGTGTCATTGGTCGGCTCGCGACTAATTCCGTTTGATGGCCACCGTAGGCCAGGGATGTTCAACTCGTGGCCCTTGGGAGCATCGGGGCATGTCGCAACGGTTGCGGCCCCTTGGAGATGCGCTCCACTTCGCGGAAAGTGCGCCGGTGTACGAACGGTTCGGAGAGTCAGGGGCGAGGCTATACCGCGCGCTGGCCTCCGGTCTACCGCGACAACTACATGTTAAAATGGTCAACGATTTTTCGCATCGAACGTACAGTGTCCAAACACGTCCAAATATTGTAACCATATTAATTAACCGTACGTCACGCAGAACCGAATTACGGAGAAACAAAGAGTGCGTGTTGAAAGTAGATGCTTCAAGCTTTGAAATGAGCCAAGGTAGACTTGCCAATGACATTATTTGACGAAGCTAGCCCTTTAGATAGAATTTTGGAAGTGTGATGAAGCGACGATCAATTTTGAAATGTTGAAGAACAAGGGAAAAATAGAGGGAATGTATTATGAACATTTTTTAACCTTGAAGAAAATATGTTAAACTCGAAATATTCAAAGTAGCGACTTATACCATGTACAGTTGGACTTTTTCCCTTATCCTGCAACATTTCAGCTTGACCTTAAAGAAAAGAACATCGATTTATCTAATTTCTACCAACAAAAAAGTTCTTCGATTAACCTAACCTAGCTTAAATTTTGGGCGCATTGGAATCGAGGATTTCGTAAATAACGAATCGACGGACACGTCGCGTGCAATTTCAGGGACAACAGCAATCGCCGATCTTGCTGACAGCAGCCGAGGCGAACAATCAGATCCATCCGGTCGAGTCGCTATTGACGATTCGACTCAGCGATGGCCCTACACCGTTCGAAGGTCGACTGGAGCTTTTCCACCGGGACGAGTGGCGAGCAGTTTGCACGAATTCGAGAAAGTAAATGATTCCATCCGCTAGAAATTCCTCGGCTGCTCTAGCCAGCGACTAACGATTCTATCTTTGTGACACGTAGCTGGACTCGAGCCGATCTGGAGACGGCGTGCAGGCAGCTCGGCTTCCAAGGAGGACGATGGTGGTCCTGGATGGACAGACAATGGCCCGCGAAACCGCGACTGCTGTACGAGCAACCGGGTTGCAGGGGCACGGAGAACTCTCTGACGGACTGCGAGCGATGGCCCGACAGGCAACTCGGTGGAGGAGTTTGCGGTGAGATCTTCATCCAGGGGCCACCTCGGATGAATGAATTATCCCGGAAGAATATTAGATATCATAGCGCTCGCGTAATTTCAGATTATCACCCTGATCTCGGCGTCGCGTGCGCGCCTCGCCACGACGGGGCCACCAAGGCGATCAAACACTGGAGAGGGATTCGCTTTGAGGAAGCGCTCTACGACAATCCTCTGACCCTGGAGAACACTCTCTACGTGCGGAAATCGAAATCGTTGCTGCGGAACGTAGTGATCGAGTGAGCATTGATCGAGTAATCGAGTAGCAAATGCCCGTGGCATTGCTCGCTAATGTTGTCTCATTCGTTAAAAGGCAAGCGGGAACAGGCCGGGAGTATAATGTTACCGCGGCGATCGATGTGGTGGGTGTCCCGCCACAGATGGAGTCGATTTCGGTGCTTCACGCGGCCTTTACCGGCATTAATGTCACCACGCCGAACGCCCCCGTCGTCATAAACAATTGCACTGTTCAAAACAATAGAGGTAACCCGACCGTCTCGGTCAGGATGGGGTCTGTCTTAAAGAGATAGGAAACGAATGTGTCTCGTTCTTTTTTCTAGGATACGGGATTTATGTGAACAGTTCGTCGGGAATGGCGCGTATCCAGGACTGCTCCGTGTTGGAGAACGGCGCCGACGGGATCAAGTACGTTCACTTCGACGAGAGGCCCGACGAGAAACTGGATCGCACGGAGGTCTTCGATCTGTGCACGTTCCCGACGACGGCCAGTCAAACGTTCCCCGTTCTGATCTCCATGGAGCAGAGCAAATACGCGCCCAACAAGAAAGTTTGTCCGCAGCATATCTTCACGCGACCGGGACACGTTCTGACGATGCACTTTCTGCAAATGAAGACCGACAAGAACAACAGCGCGACCATAGAGGTCTACGACGGTAACAGCGGCGCGGAGAAACTGCTGGCCAGAGTGAGAGTGAGGAACGGCACGTTGCCGCAGAGCGTGTCGACGACTCGGCAAAATTTGTACGTCAAGTTCATCGCCGAGCCACGCACCAACTCGCTCATCTTTGTGAGACTGATGTCGGGTCACAGTAGGTCTCTCAACGATCTGGTTGCTTTTATTTATTTTCTCGTTGCTGTTTTCCGAGGGATCGATCGATACGTTGTTTCCAGAGAAAACGTACGATCTGGATGTGACCGGCAGCGTGATAGCCAGCAACAATGGCAGAGGAATCGTGGTAGAGAGATTGCGATCGGCTCTACACATCCACGAAACTTCTGTGTCCAGCAACAAACACGTGGCCGGTGTGCACGTGTTGGGCGGTGCTGCGGATGTTAATATCACGGCTAGTCGTATATCCTTCAACGTAGGAGACGGCGTGAACATCACTCACACGGGGGGCAATCATAACGTTTCTCGGACCAGCATTTCCTCCAATCAAGGCTACGGTTTCGCGTTGTGGTTGAATGATAGCTCGACCACCGAGTACGTCAACTTCAATCAGACCACCGTGGTGGAGTACTCGCAGATATTTCGGAACAAGGATATCGGTATCCTCGTGAGTATCCGCCGCGGTAATCCTTCCGTTTGTCTAAGATGAAATTATACAATGTAACTCCGTCGCTACGTAGGTCGGCAACGCGACCGGCGATTCCTACGTGAACGTGACCGGCAATTGGTTCAACAACAGCGCCGAGGTGGCTCTGCAAGTGGAATCCAGTTGGAGGCAGAACGAGGGACTTCTAAGACTTCAAATCGGCCACAATTCCTTCGTGCAGAACGCGAAGTTCGGTATTAAACTGAGTCCTGCCTTGAACTTGCACGGGATCATCGAATACAATCACTTCAGAGAGCAGACTAGCGGCTGTATACTGATCAAGAATCCTCTGTACGAGGAGTTCAATATTTTGCCCGCCGATATCACCGTGAAGCACAACGAATTTTATTGGAACCGCGGCGCCTTTGTAGTCAGCATCGGTCTCTCGCCGTACAGCGACTCGCAGAAGCTATTGTTCACGAGAAACTTCTTGCGGGACAATCGTGTCCGCGAGTTGTACGATAATGGTAACGCTGCGAGGTTGAGATTGATACCACGGTCCCGCGTAGCAGCTGTTGCGGTTGTCTCGTCCGGCAACGTCGAAGTGTTCAGGAATATTCTGCAGAATCCAGAGTCCAGGTACGAGATCGGCTCTCACCTGGAAGACCAATCGAAAATCATCAATTGCACGTTCAACTGGCTCGGATTCCCGGAAGAGTATAAAATATTCGACAGGCTGTTTCATAGGTCAGTTTTCGTTATACTTACAGGGTTCGTTTCCATCCAGTTTATGATATCCAACAGGGGTGCGGTCTCGTTGCAGGAAAGACAGGTACAACCTCGCCAAGATCGAGTATCTGCCGTACTTGTTGCACAGCAGCAATCCCGGTACCAACACCATCATCTCGAACCCGACGTTCGTTCCTCGCTTTGTCACGCCTGGAACAAATTTAGTCGGCGGTGAAGTGGACGGTCAGGAGTTGTTGAATTCGGGGGAGTACATAGTCGAGCGTGACATCAACGTACGTCCGGGTGGAAAACTGATACTTCAACCCGGCGTTACGTTGCGGTTCCCTCCGGCTGTAGGAATGATGGTTGCTGGCAGACTGGATGCCCGTGGGAAACGGCCGAGCGATATTTTGTTCACTTTGAAGGAGGAGATCGTCGTGGAGTCCGACAACGGTACACTAATGGACGGTCTTCTCATGGAGACGAACGATATGGAACCGCCTGTGCGACTGCTCGGAGGGAAGACCAGTCTAGAAGGAAGATTACAGGTATATATAATCGAAGATTGATGGGCGCTAGTTCTAAGCTATCGGTGCTGACCATACCGTTTGCTCGACAAGGTGAAAGTTGCCGACAAATGGGGAACCGTCTGCAACTACGGTTGGACGATCCGCGACGCTGCCCTGGTCTGCCATCAGCTCGGTCTCACTCTGGACCCGGACAACTGGCTCTTGGAGCGTTCACAGATCCCCAACGCGGGCATCAACGAGGACATCGTCCTCAGTAACGTCAGGTGCACCGAAGAGGACAACGATATCTCAAAGTGTCGCGCGGAGACTCGGCAGAACTTCGAGAACTCTTGCAACCATGAAAACGACGTTGGCGTCAGATGCTCGGAGGCTGCTTGGGCGGGTCTGAGGTTGGGTCCCTTGGCTCAGAGAAGCGACCTGCAGTTCGTGACCATCGAGAAAGCAGGCTTGCTCGATTACTCCACTAATTCCTTCAAGCCAGCTCTGCAGATCGACTTTGCGAGGCACTCGTTGGACAACGTCAGAGTGATCGGCAATCTCCAGGACGGCTTGGGAGTACTCTATTCCGACATTTATTCCGCGGACGCTATCAACACCGTGAGAAACAGCGAGTTCTCTCAGAACGGCGGTAGTGGTATCAGCTTCAAGCAGCTGGGGATGAAGATCATCAACTCCAAAATGGAGAACAACATGATCGCCGGGATAAGACACAATCCTGCACTCTCCGCTGTCCAACAGAGAGAATTCGCAGGGTGGTTCTTGCGCGTACCGGACGCGACGGATTCCTCGTACAATCCGATCACGATACCCGACCAAATGCACGACATAGACTTAAGCACGGAAGAAACTATGTACATGATCACGGCTAAAGTCAGCGGGGATCCCGTCAAACGACGCGTCAGCATCAAAGTAAGCGCGCGAACGATATTTCATTGTTTCCTTTTTTCTCGCGAGCTTGTCCTAATCCTAATTCCATGATGTTTATAGTGCAGGCCAGGCTACGTGATCGGTATCCAGCTTCTGAATCCGATCGAGAACAGGAGCAGCGAACGTATCGTTGTACACGATTCCCTGTACGACGATCCAAACAGAGATGTTTGGCACGTGCGGAGAGACTTGGCTGTGTTCCCTGTTACGTCCAGCTCGTTCACCGTGATCCTGGAGTACGATAGCGGAACCAATGCGTTGGGTGGAGCCGTGATGGTACTCACAGCTCTTCGGGCACCGGTGCAGGTATTTGTTGAAATTCCGAATGCAGCGTTTCCTCGCAGGAACTAAGTCGCGATCTTTACTCGCAGGATATAAAGAGCAAAGTGGTGAGAGGACCGATTCCCACGCTTCTAGTCACCAACTCTAAGATCAAGAACAACAAGAGGGGCATCCTCGCGTCGTTCTACAACAGATACTTGGACGAGATCGGCGACCACTTCCTCAGGAAGGCCAACGAGTCGATAAATCTGGTCGGTTGCGAGATCTCTCATAATCACGAGGAAGCTATCTACATTCACACGCCGTACTGGAACATCTACCAGAGCAATCTGTCCGAAATCGCCATTCACATCAACGAGAGCCTGATCACCGACAACGGGAAAGGCATATATCAGTTCAACCGGGACGCGAGATACTCGAACAATCTTTTCCATTGGATCATGCAGGACAGTACCGTCGAGAGGAACCGAAAAGGCGGATTCGAGGTGCTGTTGCCTGACGTCTGGCAGTACAACGAGAACTTCACGCACAGCCTGTACTTCGGCAACAACACTTGGCGGAACAACGACCAGTTTTGCTTCGTGGTGGACGGGCATTACGCCACGTTGAACATGTCCTACAATCGATTCCAAGAGAACAGCTGTAAGACCGGGCTGATCTCTGTGCGCGGAATGGAGAAGAAGATGCAGATCGACAACAATCGGATCGAGAGCAATGCCGGAGTCTACATGGTGGAGTTCAGAACAGTCAGTCAGTCCGAGATCTTGGGAGACGTGGACGCGCGGTTCTACTACAACGAGATCAAACGAAACAGCTACGACTTGGCCGGAATGGGGCCCCGTCGCACAGACGACAGTCCAAGCTACGTGGTCGGGTTCCACGGGATCCAGAAGGTACAGATCAACAGGAACCTGTTCGGTCAGAATTCCTTGGACTACGAGCTACTAGCTGGCATCAGAACAGCCAAGATCAACAACGAAGTTGACGTTACTGAAAATTGGTGGGGAACACCCGATGACATCGACATAAGGTAAGAGAATCTAATGCTGCGATTAGGAAGGAAAGGTTCAACGACGATGTTGGCAATTTTTAGAAAAAGGATATTCGACTTCGACGACTGGAACGACCATGCGGTGGCAAAATACAGACCCTTCCTGACCAGCGACGCCTTCGAGTCCTCCGTTTCGGCTTCCTGGCAGGTCGCCAGGGAAGTGGACTTGGATAACTTAGGCGGTCGCATAGAGGAGAACTTGTCTATACACGTGAGGGACAGACCTTACGTGGTGAGATCGGATATCACAGTGATGCCGGAAGCCACTCTACACATTTATCCAGACGTGGTGATGGAGTTTGCACCCAACGTCGGGATCCTAGTCTTGGGCACGTTGAAGGCGGTAGGCGTGCCCGGTCATGAGATTATAATGAAACCGATGGAGCGCAACGTTACGGACTCCCCGAGACCGACCACAATGACCGGGAACGTTGTCTCCATGTCGGAGGAGACTATACGTCTGTGCAAAGATGGACGGTGTTCTTCCTTGTACAACGAAGGTAAAGAATTCGCGTTCTAATCGATGAACAATTTACTATTGGCTCGAATGAATTTCGCAGGGTTCCTGGAGTTCTTCAACAAGACAACCTTGCAGTGGATACCTCTGTGCGACACTAGGTTCACCGAGAGGAACGCGCAAGTGGTCTGTCGCCAATTAGGCCATGACATGCTCAACGTTTACGTGTCCTACGATCGCAGATACGAGTTGCATCCTGGCTCTCTAATTCGCGTTTGGTCCTGGCCTGAACCGCTTCAGGTACACCATTAACAAATGACGAAACCGACCAACCATGTTCGGTCCTTCTGGATGATAATGCGTCTTGTTTTCGCAGTGCACTGGCAAAGAGGAGAAACTGGAAGACTGCCAAATCCGATTGAACGGTCAACTATATGGTCACCGGCACGAATGTCCCTGGGACAGCCAATTTGTGTTCATAAGCTGCGGGAAACGAAACCTGGACGATGCCCACGACTACTGGGGTGGCGTCCGCATTGCCAACAGCGAATTCGAGCATCATTTGTACGAGCACCGTATCCACGACGTCGTCACCCACGAAACAATTAGGCGTGTCGAATCTGTATTAAGGCACATTAACATCACGGGCGCCGGAATTCTGCATTACGAGAAATCGGCTGCTCTACAAACGATCATGAAATCGCCGACGATAACGCACATCAACGTCACTCGCAGCGCTTATCACGGCATCAACGTGATATCACCGACTCACACCGTTAGCATCTAGATCTCACCTTTTTTTCAGCCGGTTCGCAATGCGTTTCTTAAACGGTCCATTAATTCTTAGGTGGAATTGCTGTTCAATTCCGTGGAGAACGTGCTCGGCAACGGTGTGAACGTGCTATCTATAACGGGAGAGGGCCGCGAGGCCGACGAGAGCTCGTTCACGCCTATCAAGGATTTGAATATACCCTATCATTTGTTCAGCATGATCGATATATGCGACACCACCAAGGAGATCACGTTGGAAGAACGCGTGCTGGTTTATTACAAATACGACAATCATCCTGTAAACTGCGTCAAGATCTTCCGCAGCGCTTACAGAGTGAAACCGTTTGGATTTAGGTTTGTTCCACTTCGAAATCTAACGGTATCGACTACCAGACTCTAGAGTTCTGTCGCTTTTACAGGCTTCTACAGTTCAATCTCTTCAACTCGACCGGGAAATCGGGGCGCGTCGATAGAATTACTCTGTACGATGGAGACATCTATAACGTCACTGCCAAGAAGATCGGTCAGCTGGAAGCTAATAGCCCGGACGAGAAGAAGCTGTTCAAGACGCAGGGGACCAGCCTCAGCCTAAGACTATTCGCTAATGGTGCAAGCAGCGTGCACGGTTTCATCGCGGAAGTAGTTACCCTGCCCATCTCTGCCATTGGATTTAGTGAGTCGCGTGGATGTCTATCAGCTACCTGTTAATCAACGGTCATCATGTTAATTAATGTCCTGTTTTCCTATTCAGATCGCGACGTGCAGCACAATATATCTTACTCCGTGATATCGAATTGCCGCGAAGGCGCGATCAAGTATGCCAGCGCGGGCGAAGTGAACGCGATAATGACTCTGGAGCGGAATCAGTTCACGAACAACTGCGAGAAACTCTACGGCAATTTCTCCACCTGCAAGTCTGCCCTCTGGCTGGACGTCCAAAACACCCAGTCGTTGTTCTTCCGAGTCAGTAATCGAATACCAAAGAATGCCGAAATGTTGTGCAACTGTTTGATCACGATCACCTTTCCAGAACAATTTGGTCCGACAAAATCAAGGCGGCCTCTCGATTCGAGCCGATTCCAGAGGCTCAGCGACTTCTCTGAAGGGATGGATACACAACAATCTGTTCGCGGAGAACTTTAACAAACCTGCACTGTGCGTAGAAACTAAGTAACTCGCTTGTCGAACAAGTATTAAATTCTTGCTCTTCGTTTTAGATACGTGGAAGGTCGTCAAAGTAGCCCGTACCAAGAGGTGACCATATTCAGAAACTACTTCACGAAGAACAACGCCCCGTACGACAACAATATCGTGTTGAAGCAGGTCGTCAGCAACATGACGCTCAATTATCTGCATGGCAATCTCGGCGCGCATCTTCTGGAAATCTCCGGATTCGAACGAGTCAGACTGCCCATTTACCAGAGCACGTCTCACAATGGATTCTACAAGTGAGCGTTCCTCGATGAATATTTCACGCGAAGCATTTGAAACTGCTTACCGAACGATGGATGTTTCAGAAATTATGCGGTTGACCGCAATGGACGCAGCACCATAGTGGCTGGCACTCCCGGCCAGCAGTACGTCGACAACGTATTCTTCAACCCGGACAACGACTACGAAATGCTCACCACGAATCGATCACAGTTTGTATCGTTTTTACGTATCCGGTACCGTTCGAGCAATTCAATTGACCAACTAAACGCGCGCCACGTTCAACTGTACAGACAATTAGAGATGTGGAGGGCTCACGTGGACGCGAGACACAACTGGTGGGGCTATAACGAATCTCTGCCGGTGGCCGGCAGGATCAGAGATCAAGGAGACTCCCTGGAGTTGCTCAAGGTCGACTACCAGCCTTTCCACATGAGCAACAGATCCGTTCTGAACGGAAAGTGCCCGCCAGCCTGGGACCTTGTAGGCGACACCTGTTACATCTACATCGGTGCACCCACGGACTTCTTTAGTGCCCGCGACTTTTGTAGAGTGAGTCTGGCATCGTTGCAGCACTGTTTGTCGAGTGTTTAGGAATTTTTCTAACATCGATTTTATCGGATTCCTTCAGTCGGTGAACGCGTCGATGCCGTTCGTTATGGGCGATTACCTTGAGCTGTGGCAATTCCTGCGGAAGCAGCAAGAGCGCTACGATTTCTCGGATCGCGCCTGGGTGCAGCAATTGGATCGAGTGGACCAGTGCACGACTTTCACGTATCAGACGATAGAAATCGATCACTGTGCTCAGCCGAGCCCGTTCATCTGCGAGATCGGTGCGTTGTTTGATCGAACGTCTTGAATTAGAGAAACCTCTAACCACTTTTTATATAATATAACCGTTATAATATAACCGTTGTAGATCCGAAAGTGAACATTGATCCTCTGTCCTGGAGGAAGGACATTGTGGCTGTAGCTGTGTTGGGGGCTGCTGGCGTAGCTCTAGCATTGCTAACGGCAGCTATCGCGCTCTGGGTGTCTAAATCGAAGAGGAGGAACATAGAGAGATTGGAGAGGCGAAACTCTATCAGACAGTCCTTGCACTCGCTGAGATCGGTCGGCTCTACGTCTGGATTCACCGAGCTTGCCTATCGTCGCAAACCTATTACGGTAGTAATCAGCCTCAGAGACCCTGATTTCCAAAAATCGAATATCCTCTATTTGCTTAATACATTTTCAGACCAAACACTCTACGGACACCCTGAACTCCAAGTCCCTGGACTACAAGAGAATGCTCAATGGTGGGAGTATAGACTCGATGGACAAGTCCCAGCTGAACTCCTCGATGGAGGACAACCAGAGCTACGACGTCTACGAGGCGCACAACCCAAGATACTCGCCAAGCACCAGCGACTTCAAGACCACTGCCCCAAAGTACGGAGTCCCTCAGAGCGGTAGCAACCCGGTGTTCGACCTCACTTACCGCAACGAAGGCTTCCGGAATCATTCGACTTTCACCTCGAGGAGCACCAACGATTGGCCCATAGAGTCTAACACCGAGACAACCACGGATGAGACCCCTGTCGCGGACGCCACCCACGAGAGTTCGTACATGAACAACACGTCCACCCTGCCGCTGCATTCGAGTCTGGTGCTGACGGACTCTATCAGCGAATTGAAACGAGACATAGAAGCATCCGCTGCCTACGGACCCATGGACTACGAAGTCAGACGCAACTATGACAACGCACCGTTGACACCCAGCCAAGCTTCCGAACCTGTGCCCGAATACGCCTCGGACTTCAATCCCCCGATACCTCCTCATCCCTATCATCATTACGACGAGAGCAGGCCCAGAAGCGAGGCGCTGTTAGAAACTAATCTGGACAACGGAGAAGAGAAACCGTTGAGGTCGAAGAGCGAGGCGTTACTAGAGACCAATCTGGACTCGTTCATGGCCAACGAGCCCACGGAATTGACGCAATTGTCAGCCACTGCGAGGAGCAAGAGCCAACCCTTAGAAACGGCTATGTGAATTGCTTCTGTTCTATAAGAGACAGGGACCCACTGGGCTGACTCGGATCATGCAGAAAGATAACTCTTAAGCGAACCCACCGAGTTACACACTTAAATACAGTGGACCGTAAAGAGGACAATCAGTGCAATAATAACATTGCTAAGTCTCTGACGTTATGGTTCTTCCTTGCACACGACTTACAGCTAGTAGTTTTCTTGAAAACTGGATCTCCATGTTCGCCTGGCGTGCAATGCCAATGTGAGATTTTTTTTACGAATATAACCTAGCGTATTTTTGCAAGTTGTACCTCTAATTATGTAGTATAATACCGCAAAAGATATCTCGCGTAGACTAGGGCAGACGTAGTTCGAATAACGTGTACAGCAAGCATTAGAGAATGAGTTATTCTCGCGAAGTAATTAAAATCGCATAATTTATATACTTGAAGGGCGTTGGCGTAGTCCTAAGGGAAATATACTTATCTTTTAATAGAATCAGAGATTTCAGATGTTTGTCACAAATGTGTGGAGTTACACTGCCAAACTAGCGGAGAGTCTGTGTATGCGTTTTGTGAGCTGTACTCACGTTGTGATAGATGTCTAGATTGTAGGTGATCTCACCGAAAACGCCTTGATTAAATATACATTATACGTATTCTAACAGATTATCCGTTCATAATGTGTAAACTCACGATGCAATCGACAGTGCCTCTTCAGGCTCGCAATACTTGCGTATTTAAACAAACCGCAATTTCGTATCATAATTTTTATATCATTGTTAGAGATAAATCGTAAGAAGTTGAGTACGACTTTGATCAGGTAATGGATGGCTCAACGAAACGCGTGTGTTCTACTGCGAATTTATTCTTCCAAAGAAGGACTGTTCGATCTGTGACGACATTATATTAATTTAATGTACGAATTGCGAATATCTTTATACATATATATATATATAGAAATATATTTATACGTTTTCACAAGTCGAAGAACCCGAGAAACTGTTTTTCTTAAAAAAAAAAAATGAAATCGAAATATTCGTTTTTGAATTGTAACACGTTCGTACTGTAAACTGTACATTGTTCGCGACGAAGCTAATAAACGAATCGCATCAATTCGAAATCGTAATTATTTATTTCGAAATGTGTATGTGTGTGTATGTGTGTGGATTCCTTTGTGTGGTGCCGTAATGCAAGGCACAACGAAAGGGTTTCACAAATAAATTATAGTAGACCGTTTTAAAACAATATCGAATATATTAATATTAATATCGTTAATAACATTATTAAATATCCGGATCAGATTACTATTCGTCGTAGCCGTATTTCGTAGATCGGCAAAACGATCGATCGACAACGGAATTTCATCTATGTTTCACATAGACGAAATATTAGTATTCTTTATATATATATATATATATATAGATCTATATATATTTTATTTTTTGTAAATAAAGCTCTCTGTGTGGTCGCGACGTGCCTCACGTACATCTAAAACGGCTATGCCGCCGTTACATAAATTTCTTCATCTAAATATGCTGAATCTTATAAAAATAAGCCTGCGAATATGTATATATTTACTATATACAACTTTGTGCGAAAAGAGTCACGCCGAGATCGCATTGCCAGAGACTTCCGTCAGCAACGGAATCGTTTCTATTTGATTAGCGGGACACATTTAACTATCTTTTAGAAAGTATTTAAATTCGTCCCGCCACCTAAGGCAGTTCAAACAATTTCGAGACATCGATCGACAACAATACGCATCGGCGAGAAAAACAAAAAATTTGAATCAGCATTTAAACGCTGTTCGCTCGTAAAAATTCCCCAAGAGAATCGACAACCGATTGCTGCATGGTCCCCTTCGATGTTCGATCGTACGAGAGGCTCATTTCTTTTTTTTTCGATTCCCCATTGCACACGTTACAACAAAAACAAAAAAAAAGGTCAAGGAGGTTATTGCACCAATTGTGCGAAATAGCACATACGGGAAACAACGATTCGTTCGTGTTGCTTGTTCGTTCACAGCTTGAACATTTAAATGTACGCTTATCGTAGTTAGGAAAATAAAAAGAAACTTGAACGAACGAACTCGTCTACCTGCAAGCAGACACATCGGCTCGGAACAATTTCAAAAATGTCTTATTCCGTTGCTCTTCGTCGACGTTGACAAAACATCATACGATACAACCAAGCACAACGAACAGCACATGTTGAACGTGATCGAACGTCGCGGTATCTCTCAGTCGATTTTTGGCGCGCGTACGTTCAATGATATAAAACTTCAGGTACGTTTGAATCGAGAACTCGACGATCGCGACATAACACCGCGTTGTGACCAGCTTCTGCGAACGCAGCCACGTTGGTATTACCGCAATTAAACGCGCGTCGTTCAAATTTGAAACGTACGGTGACAATCTTTCGTTTTCTTTGTTGTTTATAAGCATTTTTCAACTGCGCATCGAACGTGAACGATTCGAAGCTTGCTTCGACAACTAACAGTTAATAATATTCTCGGATAACGCGTGTACACGTCGCTGTACATCCACGTTATCTCTATATACGTATAATATGTTCGCAGGTGTTCTAATGTACTTTTTTACCGGAAGTAGTTCTTATTCTCTACCGATAGAACGACCCAGGCTTTTCAGACGCCACGAATTACAGCTAAGAATTGCACCTTTGTACACGAGCGCCTTTTACAGGAACAGAAACAGCGAGACGAGGATATTGTTCACCCTCGACTCGGTATTTTTTTTAGCTGGAGTACGTTGGACTCGACGACGCTTGTCCGTACTAGATAATTAGAGCTAATGATAACTCGTCTCCACCTCCGTATAGAATATTCGAATTTTCTTATTTTTCAACTACAAGGACTAGTCTCCGTTATTTAAATAATTGCTCCTGATCTAAGAATGGAAACTCTGAAGACTAAGAGAATGAACTACAAGTATATAGCGTGTGAGTACAGCACTAGGAGGGGGCGAGAGCTAAGTTAAATTGACTGAAGAGAAACACGGCGGGAAACGCTCTAGAAAAGAACTGTTTTACAATAAGTACTTACAATGTAATTACGTGATTGAGCGATCAGTTAATCTCTGGCGTTCGCACTCGACCTGACGGTTTACCAGCCGTGAACAACGCGTCCTAGCAATTTGCGTAGGGTGCTCAACGATTCTTGGCACCGGCATATCGTGAATTATTGAACACCCTATATCGTACGGTCGCAACTATGTTCAAGAATATTTTCTCTTGAAACAAGTATCGAGATGCATAAACGAAATCAATCATCGCAATTACGAACCCACGACAACGCCGGATCCACCGAACCGGGCCGAAATAACAAATCTTCTATTCCTCGGTCCACAATTTTTGCAAAACTGTTAAATAAATTAATCGCATTAATTTCTGGAGAACTTTACAGACCCGTCGTTTCGGTTGTTGTTCGATAATTCCGGAGTTAAAGCGGATTCGCTGGATGAAGTAACACGATAAACGGAAGACGTTCGTAATGTTTGCTGTTAGACGATTCGCAGCCTAAGACACGGAAGCCGACGAACCGGGAGCTAACGGTCGGATGACGGTTTTACAGTCGAATCGATAGCCTTACATTTAAAATAAAAATTCTACGTAGATCGAATAGACGATAATAAACGTACCGTTCGCATAACGATTCGGTCGCGATAGGGTATATATTAGATTTCATATTAAAACTTTCTCAATTAAATTAAGTAAACATCTTACTTAAGACGAAAGCGCTTGCCGCGCGTTTATTCGTATCAACAACGACGACTGTATGATTCGAAGGGAGCGACGGCTCGACACTCGGACTCGTTTCAAACTGTAACTTTGTACAAATTAAAAGCTAAATAGTCGTCACGTGTGTAAAGATTAACTAATCGAGTACCGAGCACGAGCCGTGTGTGTCGCGTTAATCTAAAAAAGAACCTATCTCTAACGATAATTAAAACTTACGCCGAGCTCATTTGCTACGTTCTACGCTCCTACGAATTTACACTCGAAGAGGCCGGAAACCTTGCGGCGTGAACGGACTGCTCTAAAAAGAAAAGTACAATTAATTATTACTACCGTCTCGTCTACTGTCATGACACCCTTTCTGTGGCTACACCATCGTTTTGAAGAACATACAATCTAGTATCTAGATCTGTCCATGGGGGATACACAGTGGACACCGTGCCGGTTCCAAACAAGTCCAACTAAGTGGTCTTCGAACGAATCAAATGAGCCGAGTATACGCGTCACCGCTAAAATCACCGTGACGGTCGATCGATTGTCCGTTTCCACCTCGAAATGGAACACCTCGAGGAATGACGGAGGCGCGTCAGAGGCCCGGAAACAACGATCATCGTGGAGGCGTGGGGTTATAGGGGTTGCAGAGGAGAAGAAGAACGTGCCGCTTGCGCGTTCCGTTTCAGAACAACCGAAACAAACAAACGAGAAAGAAACAACGTGTCACGGCGCGTTTGTTGTGCTACGACGACATTGCATCTGTCTCTAGACTAGAAAGAAACGTGCCACCCGGTGACACGGTGGATTTGCATGCGATGGGGGGTTGCAGCGTTCTTCGAAGACAAGGAAAGTAGAATCAAATGTCGCGCTGGATATACACCTTCGAGGCCTCGTCAACGATTCTAGCGTACCCTAATTCGGTAGAAAAGACGAAGAAGAACAGGAAAAGGAGGAGACGCAAGTTCAAGTGTTTGTCTTGTCGTGCGAGGCTAAAGGTTTGCGCGGTTGATTCGACTTAATTCGATGATCGGGGACAGAGGTTCCCGTGTCGTGCTAGCCCGGGACCACGATCATCAGACCATGAATACTTCGACGAACGGACTGCACTCCGCTTGCGGGGGCGCAGGAACAGGTATGCGTTTCTCCAGCTCCATTCGTGGAAGGAACGCCTCGATACGCGTTTCCGACGTGGGCGTGGTAGCTCCAGGAACCGTCGCGCCTGGTCCCAGCTGAAGACACTCGGCAGGAGTCAACTGAAAGTCGAAAATGCTGCTTTAGAAGAGCGAACGGATTCTCGCGAACCTCGATCATCATCGGGAAGTTCGATGGCTTATCAAATTTGTCAAGATTATACCTCGGATGACGTTGCCCGTCGACGAAGCAAACGTTCTAGAAGGCCGCTGGCAAAGCGGGAGAAATAACGATGCAACATAACTTACCAACGCAGCCTGTTGCGGAATGGCCGCGATACCGCCGACGTTCGCCGGATTGTAATAATTAGTGGGGCTGACCGGCGGCGAAGGGTACGGCCAATAAAATATCGGCGTCGGGTATGGGGCTGCAAACTGCGGCGGTCCACGTGGTAGCATCGCAGCTGTGGGCGGAAATATCGCGACCGGTGGCGGTGGCAACATCGTGCCCCCTAGAGGGTACAACAAAGAAGACAATCAACCATCGCGATCCCAGATGAACCACAATCGATTCAAATTCTAGAAACAACATCATTGTCGAAACCAAAAGGTTCCTCCCCCGATAATCGATATTATCGTAACGCGTCGCGGAGGAACCTTTGGGGCTCGCATAAAAGTTTTGCGACCACGGTAATAATAAAAAAAAAAGACAACCCTTTCGAACCCATCCTCGATATGCCTCTAATTAGTATAACAAACACTGTGAAATATTGACCGAGAGAATTCTTGCCCCGAGTGTCGCGTACGGAATTTTTTCCTCTGTCGTATTAATAGACTCCCAATATCACAAAAAAAGGTCTGATATAATAATAATAATAATAATAATAATAATAACACCCATAGATTCTAATGTATGTACAAAACGTAAAGAAAAGTGCCCAAACTATGTAAACCACACCACGATCCGTGGTCGATGACATCGTGCAGAGATACAATTAAATAATGGAGTAAGTAAAAATTCTGATCGTCGTACTTCTCCGTTTTTCTATTTTCCGACCATATTCTGTTTTCTTTTTTTCTCTCCTTTTAGTTTTTCCTCGTTAGTGATATATAATATATATATATATATATATATATATATATATATATGTATATATACATATCTATGTATGTGTATATATGTATACATATCGGACGTCGTCAATGATCATTCCTTCGCGAGTTCCCGCAACCTGCACGATTT